CAGTGCAGAAGCTTTTTATCTTCGTGAGGTCCCAATAGTTCATTCTTTATGCTAAGTGAAATAGGATACAGCGAAAGACAGATACCATATGTTTTCACTCTTATGTGGATCCTGAGAAACTTAACAGAAGACCATGGGGAAGGGGAAGAAAAAAAAAAGTTAGAGAGGGAGGGAGCCAAACCATTAGAGACTCTTAAAAACTGAGAATAAACTGAGGGTTGATGGGGGGTGGGAGGGAGGGGAGGGTGGGTAGTGGGCATTGAGGAGGGCACCCGTTGGGAGGAGCACTGGGTGTTGTATGGAAACCAACTTGACAATAAATTTCATATTTAAAAAAAGGTGTATTCATCTAAATAAAAGTAGGGATATGTTTAGAATAGAATAGCAGTGTTTCTTGTCACATTTACTTTCACGTGTGTATGTATTTGTCGTTAATTAAGATCACATTCACTTTCTTATTCTCTTACCCTGCCAGACTAAGCTCAGCTTAAATCTTGACATTTTAACTTAGTTATTATTAATAACAGTGATAACAGCTACCATATGTAGAGGCTTAGTTAGTCTCGGCCATTTTACAGACAAGGAAAGCAAGGCTCAGGAGTTAACTAAGCATTCCCCCAAATTGCATTGCTGCTAAGTGGCAGAGACAGCATTTGCACATGGCTATCTATTCAGAGACCATGATCTTGAACACTGTGTTATACTCCTTAAAGCCCGGGGGAAGGTCAATTATTCCAGAAAAGCAAATACTTGAGCAAATAATGAAGATTTTTCTTGATTTTAAAAGTGATTCATTAAAATTATATGCTAAATTTGTACAGCTATCAAAAATAGGCTTTATTGGGAAATTACATAAAGAATATTAAGGGAAATTGAATTTGTACTGACATGAAGAATGAATGTCCTTAAATTCTCAGCTATCTAACACTTGATAATCTTTTTTTAAATTTTTTAAATTTTTTTCTAATTTTTTTGAAATTTATGGTCAAATTGGTTTCCATACAACACCGAGTACTCATCCCAACAGGTGCCCTCCTCAATGCCCACTACC